TGTCTGAGTGTGTGTGTCTGTGTGTGTGTCTGTGTGTATGTGTCTATGTGTGTCTGTGTGTCTGTGTATGTGTCTGAGTGTGTGTGTCTGTGTGTCTGTGTCTGTGTGTGTGTGTGTCTGTGTGTCTGTATGTGTGTGTGTCTGTATGTGTCTGTGTGTGTGTCTGTGTATGTATGTGTGTGTGTGTCTGTAGTGTGTGTGTGTCTGTGTGTATGTGTGTCTGTGTGTGTGTATGTATGTGTGTGTGTGTGTGTCCGAGTGTGTATGTGTGGGGGGCACGAGTCATAGTAACATGAACTGATACACTTTAATCAGCGAAAGCAAAATCTGTTGTAAAGAAAATAAAATCCTAAGCCCCCCACCCACTGAATGAACCCCCGCTCTGCCAAGGGGACCCCAGGAAAACCTGGAAACTGAGTTCCCGGCCACAATGGAATGCGAGGTCAGATGTGCCTCACATTCGCACTCCCTTTTGGAGTTTGGACACGACAATTCACCAGCGTTAGTGCTAACAGAGATTATAAGACTGACCAAAAAAGCCTCTTTGTGGGAATAACATGCCAAATCACAAACAAGACCGACGCCCTGCAAGGCAAAGGTGAAGTCAGGCCTGCAGGCCACCGATTTGCTTAACAGGCCACTCTGCGTCCGTCCGTTGCGGCTTGTCTCTGATTAGACTTTCCTACCTTAAAACATTCCTCTCTACTGACTGCAAGCTTTTAGACAGAGCTTTATTCCTTTAACCAATTATTACACAAATTAAAGAATCTCCAAATCCACCTCTGTCCCGGCTTGGGGATGTCCCACCTTTTCGGGCCAAACCAACGTTTGCCTTCCATGTATTGATTTATGACTTTACTCGCGATCCTGCCTCTCTACACTGCATAAAACCAAACTGTAGCCCGACTTTCCCGGGGATCTGTTGTGATCATGCAGCCTGGCACTCCTCTTCGCCTCAGAATAAACCTCTTTAAATTGTCTCACAGAGTTTCTTTGTTTTCCATAAGCATGTGGATCAAATAAACAAGGTCTTCTAACTAACAAAGAGGTGTGCAGTCCACACCTCACCTTCTATGTCAGGGGAACTTCGACTCCGGCACAGGCCAGGGAGAGCTGGCTGGGGGTAAAGCCCAAGTTCAGACGATCTTTCCCACAGCTGAAAGGGCTCACGCCGGGTTGGCGCGGCCGGATAGTGAGGAAACGACAGGGGCCTACAGAGAACGTAAAGGGCCGTGTAATCCTAGACGCTGCTGGCTTTCAGCACAGTACTTGAGAAGAGCAAAAGCATGAGTTGGAAAGAAGGAAACGTAAAACTACTGTAATTACAGACCAACTCTGACGGTCTATGGGCAGTTTCTGATGTGTGGCACCTGCCCGATGGGTCTTCGATCTCAGGTGGCATCCCTGCCCAGTCCGCTCCCGCGTGTGATCAGGGAGTGGAAACCAGCTTGAGCACTGGCTCAAGTTTCAGACAGACGAAAGTCCACCACAGAGAATCCCTTTCGAGCACGCAGCGTCCAGGGTGGGCTCTGCGGACCCTCCGCTGTTTCGGAGTCGCATTGCCTCTGCCACTCTCTGACCCAGCCCTGTGCTTGCCTCACGCGCTTAGAAATCCTACCTTTTATAAAAATCAGGATGAGTTTCACGTGTCTTCAGCACCACAGTTATATCTACCTCAAGGGCAAACTGTGTGGTGTGGTAAATTAACTTTAAGTAAAATTGATCGGAGAATTCAAAATACTAAGGAATAAAAAGTGAATTCTGAATAGCATTGGGATGCATTGTGTCTGCTTATGTCTTCTTGAGCTAATATTAAAATAAAATTGAATTCTCCAGGTGCTCAAGAAAAGTTTCTGGTCACACTGGCCAGCTAGGTTGCAGTTTAAATTCCTCACGGATATGATCGATAATTTAGAGTTGACTGTATCAGCATCTTTTGACCAGGTAGCAAAAAATAAATACGGTCATTCTCTGAACATTTTAAACATGTAGGCCCACGTGGTGGCACCTCGTGAGGAAGGACTCCGAAGTCTGTATAGACAATGTTCTCTTAGAGCTCCTTTTACGCCCAGGTCACCCGCAGCCGGAGAGGTAAAGGACCTTGCTCAGGTGACCTGTGGGCAGAGCCAGGTCAAATCCTGTCCCATCCTTCCAACCTAAGAAACTAAAAAGTAATCCTGTTCCGCGAATCGGGCTAATTCTGTCAGCGGGAAAGACCAACCCCAACACACAATCCCTTCTAGGGAAGCTGAGAACTTGGTGACGGTCCCACCATTTCCTCCTCCTGGGCAGCCTCACTGATGACTCCAAACTTTAGGGCAGTTGTCACTCACGCTTTGTCACTGATGACAGTTTTGGTTTTATCTGGGGACTGCAGGGGGACCCTAGAGCAATCAGTGAGCCATGTGTGCCATGATTCCCTATTTAGTAGTGCCTGGAATCAGCTTCCTTCCTGTTCTTAGGACCGACGAAGCCCGGGCCAAGAGCCGCCCCAGGCACGCTGAAAGTCCCACTAACAGCCCACGACCCTCCCCTCTGCACATAGCCACGCCCGCCTCCATGCTCTCATCTGTGCGTGGGAAGCGGGTTTCACCAACAGCCTGAACCCAGAGGGAAAAAAGTGGATTCTCTCCCAACTTCATCTACTTGATACCTTGTAGTTGCCCACCTATTTGTTTCATTATCATCTTTTTAAAAAAACAGAAAATTTTGGATCCAAAAGCAGTCAGAAAGCATGGCGAACCCCCATAGACACAGGATACAGCCCCGACAACCACCTGCTGGCTGGACGTGGCCCACCTATGTCTACAGAAGGAGCCTGTTAATCGTTTCATAAATAACCGCAACTTTATTGTTGTGGGCTGAATTATGGCCCGGCAAAGTCATATGTTAAAGCCCTAACCCCCAACGTGACTGCATTTAGAGACAGGCCCTTGGCCGGAGTAATTCAGGTTAAACGAGGTCGCAAGAGGGGGGCCCTAATGCGACAGGACTGGTGTCCTTACAAGAAGCGGGAGAGACACCAGGGCTCGCTCTTCGCACACAGGCAAGGCCACGGGAGGACACAGTGAGAAGGTGGCCGTCTGCAAGCCAAGGAGGGGCCCTCACCAGGAACCAGCCCTGCTGGCGCCTTGATGTCGGACTTCCAGCCTCCAGAACTGTGGGGAAAGAGGTGGCTGCTGTTTAAGCCACCTGGTCGGTGGCATCTTGTTGTGGCAGCCCTACCAGACCATGACAAGTACCATACCTACAAAAGTAAACATGAATTCGTTAATATCCCAAAATGGTAGCTTTTAAAGGGAGCTGATCAGTCCTGGTTGAATCTGAGAGACATCGAAGAGTAACTCCAGACATACCACGAAACTAAGTTTACGTGTCCGTTTGCTACGCTGAGACCAAGTCGCTGACACAACTTTTCAAACAGGTTTCTATCTTTCGCATGAAAAATATCTCCAGCTCACAAATCTACAGACTTAACTGACGGCTTTCCTTCTCCCATAAAAACACTCTAATTGTAGGAAGGACGATCATTATCTGGAGCTTTCCTTGCTCTTGGCTACGTGCATCCCGCTGAGAGAGGTGGGAACCCCACAGGCCGCTCAGCACAGAGTTTGGGGGCTGGGGGGTGTCACTAGAACACCTCGACTATTTCCAAAGTGCATGTTACCTACGGAGGAGCAGAGGTTGGCTCTACCATTTAACCTCTAGCACCGAGCAGAGGCAACAAGAAAACCAATCAGAACTGGCAGCTATTTTCCGTGGAGAGCACCCTTGAGCATGGGAGTCTGGTTCCTGGATACCCGAGTCCGCCCACGGAAAGAACTGCTGTCACACACACCTGTGGGTGTCCGTGCTGTGAACTCGGGGTCGAAGTGGAAGGTGTCCTCAGGCCTGCCCACCGCTGGCTTGAACGGTGGCTTGATCTCCTTCCGGTACAGCTTCTGCAAGGACAGAGGACAGGGCGCTGAGGAACCCCGGAAAGACCAGAACACCAGGCGCCTGTTGCGGGAGGCAAAGATGTCCTTACCACACGCCGTGCCGGCCTTCACCTGACTACTCCGAGATATGTATGAATATACAAAGAATATAGTGCAATCTGTTTATATATTACACGTATTATAGATAATTATAATTATATATCATTTGAAGTATATAAAAGGCATAGTTTGAGATATAAGGGTTTGGGGACACGCTGAGTGTTCTTCCTTTTAGGGCAACAGTTTTCAAAATTCTTTGTGGTAGCAGAACTTTTTACTCCAAGCAGAATCCTGCAGGACAGCGCTGCTGGCTCCCGCCCAGGACACGGTGGGGAGGGCCACCCGCCCTCTCCTCCACCCAAGACTGCAGAGCCAGCACCGTGGCACTTCAGCTCTGAGGGGACACTGTGGGAGTGCTGGGCCGGGGGCGCTCCAGGGTCCTCGCGTACCAGACCTGTGCCCTAGGGGACTTGGCACTTCCGTCCGGAACCTGCCTCAGCGTGTCACATGTCATGGGTCAACCATGGCACCCAGACCCCCTGCTCAGGGCCCATGGGAGCGCCTGCAGGTGCGGAGAACCGGCCCTTCCCACAGCCACAGCCGGCTGAACTTACTTCCCGCATACGGCCTTCGACAGAACACACGACGTCACGGCCTGCAACACGCCAGTCTTGGGGCTGCCTTTCTGACAATGCTTTCCAAACCTGACATGTTGTTTTCGATGTTGGGTCAACGGCCCCTTCCGTCGGGCTGATTTGATTTAAGGAAGCCAGGCAAAGGTGTCTGGAACCTGGCGTGGTCACGGAGGAGCGTGCCAGGAGGGAAGCCTGCGAGGGCTGGGGCCTGGAGCAGGGGGTCCGGGGGCCACGGGGTGGATTCAGGAGAGGACACGCAGTGTGGTCAGATCGCCCGGAAACAGAAGACGCAGACCCCGGGGCCAGTGGGTCCCAGGCAGCCGGCAAGAGGGGTCTTGCTGCACCCACTGAGCATGAAGGTTTCCTAATCCTGCCTGGCTGGGGGGCCCCCAGGTGTCTGCCGAAAACTCTGATTCCCAGGCCCTTTCTTGGGAGCCTCTGCTTAGCAGGTCTGGGGCTCAGCCCTTGAGCGGGGGACCCCGACGGCGGGGCTGGGAATCTGCTCTAAATCTCTCAGTGCCGCTGGACTGCAGGTTTCACGGCTTCATCAGATGGGGAAGCTGAGGCTAGGAGAGGAAGAGTAACTTGTCCGAGGCCAACGGTGAGTGGGGGCAGACAGGGAGGAGGGGAGTCATCGACCCTTCCCATAACTGGGGTTGGGCATGGATTGGGGGACAGCTGTGGGAGGGGAGGGGAGGGAGGAGGGTGGCGCCCGGGGCACACCTGGGTGCCGACAGAGGAGAAACTGTGATTTAATTCGGCCCCTAATTATTTGGTCATTTCCTGCCCTGGGTGAACAGCTTGCATGAGGAATCGAGTTACTCTTCAAGCCCTTTCCAGAAAGAGCAAGATGCTGCTTTCTGCGGTGACGCGCTCGTGGGCGGGAATAAACTCCCTGCTGCACTTGCCGGAGGACATCTCACCAGCCAGGGGGCTCTGCCCCGCTAAAACCCCAGTCCGCACCGAGCCGCGCAGCCCACTCCCCTCCCCAGGGAGTCTCCTGTGAGCTGCTATTGAGTGAATGTGTGTCCTGCTGGAGGAAGAGTCCCGTCCTCTCCCTCTGCATGCACGGGGCGGAGGGGGAGGGGAGAGAGAGAGGGAGGGATCTGCCACAGAGCTGGGCTCCTTCTTTATTACGAGGAGGAATTTACGTACACAGGATTTC